TACTGATGCACATACAATTCCAGAACACTCTCTCCTCCATTTCCCTTGCACCTTCAGAACTCCTGGTTCTTAAAAGTAAGTCCTGGCTTTGGGCTTTGCAGAGTTGGAGGGGAGTTGATATGGGTGGGAAACATAACTGACTGCAGGTTTTCCTATAAAGACAAAGCCTAAATTCCTTGAGGCTTGGGCAACAATTTCCCTCTTCATAAGCTGCTTGTAATTCCCAGTTGGGAAATATCATAAGTCCAACTGGCTTTTTGGTATACTCAGAGATCAGGAGATGAACATTATAAAGAGGGCATGATAAAAACTCTTAAGCAGTAGACAAGCTCAGAGGGAGACTCCTGAAGTCCCTGGCAGTTCTGAGTTTCACAGTCAGTGGTGGTAGTGCAGTCTACAATAACTACTTCCAAATGCTGGTGCCAAATTCTACTAGTAAGAAACATACCTTTGCCTGTGGGATGGCCTCAAGGAGTCCCAGTAAAATACTACGGGGTCTAGAGACCCTGGGAATTCTATGATATAAACTTGTATGGGTAGCTGTTTAGTGCTTCTCAGAGAAGCCAAAGGCCCTGGCAAAGACCTCCAGCCTAAACATAGGAATTTCTTTTCAGGTTTTCATGTATGTTCTGAGACTCTTGCCAGTTTGGATGTAAGATGGAGACTGAAGGGAATTTGAAGATATATGTTCTGAGACTCCTGCCAGTTTGGATGTAAGACGGAGACTGAAGAGAATTTGAAGTGGAGGTGCTTGTGAGGCAGGGGAGTATGTAACATGAAGGGAGCAGGAAATGGCCTGTTCCTTCCAACCCTGGTAGATGAATGTGGGAAAGAACCAGCTGAAAGCTGTCATCCCAAGAAACACTTGGATTGCTTGAAAAGAATGAAATTGTCCTGTCTGGAATGAGGTAGAGGGAACTTTGGAGGGATAGCACCTACAAGTTACCCCAGATTGAACAGTTCTGATCAGAGTCCTGAGCAGAACCAACAGAGCTCAAATTCCAGGTTCACCTGGAGTCTTTACTATGTAGCTTAGAACTTCATTCAGAAACAAGGGAAAGAATGGGGTCCCGAGGGCTCTGTGATGAATCCTGATGAGGGGAAGGGAGTGATGGGGGTAGTACTGACATTAGGTCCAAAGCGCGTCTTCCAGGTTTGGTTAGCTCACCTTCCACTCAGCTAGGCTCCTTGCCTTTTGCTTTTACCATGCCAGGGTGAAGCAGCTGTATGTGATCTATGGAGGAATGCCGTTCCCAGCAAGGCTCCTTTAATGGTCCCTTAACAAACTCTTCGATCTCTCTTTGGCCACTCTGGCTCTCACTCGCCTCCTCCCTCTTCCCTTCTCCACTGTCTTCATCAATTATTTATGACCGGCATTAATTATTCAGGAAAAGAGAAAACTCCAGCTTTGGGAACTTTACTAAGGGGAGTAGGGGGGTTCCTTTTCAGGACCTGCAGTAGTTTTGAGGGTTGGTTTTTGGGACTGCATTTGGGATCCTACTCTGAAGCACAGGAGAAAGGGAACCGGGTAGTTGGACAGGAAATGGGGTGGGGGTGGGGATGCGCTTCTCATCTCGGTCTGCTTGGCCGCTGACTGCTTTGTGTAGCCTCCGGGGACTAGAAGTTAGAAGCTCATCCGCAGGAGTCGCTGTCCGGACCTCGTGGTGCTGAAACCGCCGGCTTGAGCCCTAAGGCTGCGGGTTTGGGATTGGGGGTGTGCCCCGGAGGGTGGGTGATGGTGGTGTGGGGAGAAGATCTGGATTCATCCCCAGGCAGGGGGACTGCTCTCCAAAAAGTCTTGTTTGTCTTCTTTCCCTTCAACCGCCCCCCCAAACCCTGTGACACCAGGAATGCTGTAACCAAAGATTAATTGCCTTAATCAAATCGATCCACTTTCTGCAATTAATCTTTTACCAACAAATTAGAAATAATTTACCTCAACCTCTTGGGCCAGGAGGAGAGAAGAGGTAGGTTGGTGTGGGGGAACGGACAAGATGGGAGACTTTGACAAAACATACAAAAGGTGCGAGGCGGCACTTGAGAACCTCTGTGCGTCTAATGCTAGAGGGGAGGGAGGGGATCGGAGTCAGCGGAGGGGCTCCGTCGGGGCCGGAAATTCCTGGAGTGCCTTTCAGCTCGGGATTCTCCAAAAGACAAGAGGCCGCGGGCAGGGGAAGAGGCCCCTTACCTACCTGTCCGCGCCGCCCGCGCGGTCTCCGGCCCTCAGCGCTCGGTTCTCCCGCTTGCCTGGCGCTCCTTGGCTGCTGCGCGGCTCTCTCCCGCGGCGCCCGCCGCCTCCCGCAGCCCGCGTTCCTCTGCGTTCCTGCTTGCGGGCTGGCGGGCGGGTCCTCCTCCGCGTCCCAGTCCGGTCCCGCCCCTCTCCTGCTCTCGGTTCCCCGTAGCCCCTTAGCTCTTCCCACTCTCCTTCTCCACAAGTTTGTAAGTTTGGGGTGAGGGTCGATCTCCTTGCACCCAGCTTCTCGGCTTAGCTTGCTCAGTTCCGCACCCCCACTTACCAGCTTGGACCTGGGCCTCTGACGCCGCCTATTGGTCAGGCAGGGCGACAGCGCAGAGACAGTCCTTCACCCCTCACCCTCTCAGGGCCCTTTCTGTCCAAACAGCTCCAAAAGAAGGCGAGGTTGAAGGCCCGGTAACTGCAGCGAGACCTAGGGCAAAAGGTTAGCCGTGCACATCCGGTGTGCATAGCTTGGACTGGTAGCTTGAGATCCCAGAAATGTTGTCCCATGACCTGCAGGTTTCCTGTGCCACCCACAGACAGTCCATAAGAGCAACACTCCCGCCAGAGTTCTGCAGGACCCAGAGGCTGACACCTTTTGGAAGTGTAGGTGGTGGACACCAATTGAGTATCTATGAAACCGAGGGAAGAAGGCTGGGAAGGTGAAAGTCCCCAGAGTGAGTCTTTCTCATCAAGGGGGTGAAGAAGCTTTAGGGCGAACTGGAGATGGGGGGCGGGAGTACGAGAGTCGTTCTCATTAGGAAGTGTCAAACCTGGGAGGTTGGCGAGTGTGGACCAGGTAAAGCTCAGGGCTGGGGGAGGGAGCTCTATGGATGAGGACAGAATTCAGGAGGACTAGATGGTCTTACATGGAGAGGCTTTCTGCACTGGCCTAGTCCCGAGGTGCTAGTCCCTGGTGCCGGTCTCACCCACGGATCAACCTACCCTTTGCACTTCTTGGCAAGTCTTGGTCTGGTCTGGCCACTGCTCCATCAAGGCACAGAGTGGAGGCACAGTACCCTCCCCAGCCTCGTCCTGTCTTTTTCATTCAAAGAATTGATGTAGTGTTTCTCACTACCCCCTCCTTCTCTAATAAACAATTCCCATAGATTATCCGATGTAGAGAAGGAAGGCGGCTGCTTAAAAAACAAAAAGCCATAGCCCTAATGAGTTCAATTACAATGTGGTAAACACATTGCCTCTACGCTTTAATTAAGCCTGCTGCCCAATTTTAACTCATTAGTAATTCATTAAGAGAACAGCCCTGTGCTGGCGGGTGGAAGGCACCATAGGCCGATTGTGCTGGGCGGAGTAGGCACACTGCTGGTCACCAGCGCCCGCCCTTGCGTTGGGCCTCGGAGAATCAGGTTTGTGACCCAGTGACTTTAGTATCATTTAAGACCCGAATACCCTCTCCAGATGCTCCAGACATGGCAACTCTGATCGACTAAGATGACCTGTCCTATGTCCAATCCCAGTGGGTTGTGAAAGTTTGCTAACCTGTTGGGGTGGATAAAGGTGGTGTGGGGCGGAGCCTCAGCGTGCGCTGGGGTGGAGGGGAAGAGTCCTCAGGTTAAATCAGGTGGCCAGGTTAGGCACTTTTATGACCCTTCACTTCGTATTAGACGTAAATAAAACAAAAAAAAAAAAAGAGAGAGAGATCAGACCATGCTTTTTGAGCCAGAGAGTGTTGGCTGCAAAAGGGGGAGATTTGGAGGTTGGACCCCAGATTCTCCTTTATCCTTTTTGCTCTCTTCTGAGTAATTAAGGCCGGGGCTCTGTATCTGTAACTATGTGGGTTGAGACCAGCTGCTGAGGCCATCCCATTGGGGACAGGAAGGGTAAGTGTGGCAGAGTGAATCATACCCCGGCGAAGTGTCAGCGAGCTGTTATGGTCGTGCCTTTTCCCAAAGGAGAGTTTAAGACCCGCTGCCCCCTCCTCCCCCGGCCTTGACAGCTTCTAGAAAGTGTCCGCGTGTTCTGGGAGTCACAGTTTGGACGGGACTGAACTCAGGTCCCCAGGTTCCAGTGTGGAGTTTCCAAAGGAAAGGGCATACACAGACATGATTACAGAGAGAAGCTTTGGTTAAGAAAAAAAAAAAAAGATTTGCAGCGGCTTCCTGCCCCACTTTGGGGGTTTTCTTTGGTTGGGAGAATTTCTGGTCGCCCTGGCTGCTCACCGCGCCCCCTAGGTGCAGCTGGAACTTGTCCTGGGCGACGTGGGCCGGCTCCGCCTCCCGAGGGCGGGTGGAGACTCCCCGCGGTCAGTGCGAGTCCCAGGGTCAGGGTTGTTTGCGCTCCCTCCACCCCTGAGCTCTTCTCACTCGCGGATAGCTTCTGCTCGCCTCCGGCCGCTCCCTTCCCTCGTCTGAGCTGCAGCTGCACCTAGAAGCAAGTGCACCGACCTGATTTCCTCTCGGCGGAGGCTAAAGGTCCAGGTGACCCAGGAGGAGCGCGGGGCACTTGGCTGATCTTCGGTGCTTGGCTAGGATGCACCAGAGGGATGTCTTGAATTTTGGCCTATTTGCTCCCGGAGACAGGAAATGCTGCGGGTTCAGGCTGGGTACTCCGAGGACGAGGGTCCTGCCTGACTTTTCACTCTTCGGATTCTCTGGAGAGGGTTCAGGAGAAATCTGGTCCCCCGCCTGAACTGAGTCTCCGCCCAGGAGTGGTGGATTCCTCCCAGGAGGGTGGGCGGCAGGAGAGGATCTCCTGTCTGGCGAGGCGCAGAGTGCACAGACCCGGGTCCCTGAGAGGCTGCCCTGGGTCTGGAAAGCGTCGCTCGTGGTTGCTTTCCCAGAGCCGCTCGTTGGCCTGGTTTGTCTTCCTCCCAAGGCCAGACCTCGCCGCAGCGGGGCCTTCCCGCGCCCTGAGGATTGGCCTCTCTGATCTCGCTGGGAGAAAGGTCCCTCTCTAACGCTGGGTGCGACAAAGTACAAAAATGTGACCCGCACCGCAGGCAATCCCGGCGCCTAAAATGCGGAGGGGCAGAGATAAGATGAGCAATGCGAGCAAGCGGACAGCCTCTCAGGAAACCGCCTCTTTTTAACAGTTTCCGGGGTTGGAATCCAGTTTGATGTCTGGGGGAACTCAGAGGCACGAGGGCATTTATACTCTCTGGGGTGAAGTCACCGGGAACAAATTTCAGAGAAATCCCTCGCGTACGATGTTAATTACAACTGAAATAGATTGTCTTCCTTATTTTTTTCCTTTTCTAATTCAAGGACTGGCAGGTAGGATATAATCTGCTCTGTTGACAGTATAATAATTAAGTACTTTTTTGTGAATTTTTGGGGATCGGAGCACTTTTCTACACAGCCAGGTGAAACCGTGAGAACTGCCCCCTGCAAAAGGATGTGGTCTTCTTTTGCTAAATGCTTCATTCTAAACACCACTCCAATTCCAGCCTGCTTTTTTTTCTTGTTTGTGAGCTGAATACAGGACAGGAGGCCAATGTAGAGCTTGGAGATGCCAAGGTTTCCCCAAGGTGGGCCTAAGCCAACCTGTGGGTTTCATGCTATTTGCTTTCCTTTTCTTTCTGTTGTGACCCCACAGCACAGCAGCTTAATAGCAACTGTTAAGTTACTATGAATGCTGTTTGTTCTTTGGAAGGGTGTCTCTGGGGACAAGGATGGCATCCCATAGTTAAATACTGGAAAACAAGAGGGATGTCGAGTGGGAGGATGCTGAAGAGAATCACATCTTTGGTAAGGCACAGAAAGTAAAGACCTCAATTTATTAGTCCTAAATAAGCAGGCTAGTAACCATTTACAAGCCGGTTTTACTAGAGCTGAGAGGAGCATGGACAAGAGTTCATGGCAGGCAGGCAGGAGGTAAGTGGGAGGTTCTTGACTCACTGGAGTAATAAAACAGTAAGAACGTGTTGGCTCATTCTTGTAGTTTTTGGAGAGAGGGGGAAACATGCTCATGATTAAAATACTTATATGTTATCTATATGACAAACTATTCATTTAATTATCATGTGACTGCCATGAGCTGGGAGTCACTGTCCACATTTTACAGACTTTGAAAACTGAAGTTCAGAGAGGGTACCTTTTTCTCAAGACCACAGAGCTTGGTAAGTAGCAATACCTAGTTTCAAGTTAACATCTGTTTAGATTTCAAAATATGCCCCCAATGAATAAGCTATACTGTGGATCACTTTACATTCATCAAGCCATTTTATCTTTGTAACATTATTAGGTAGATGTGGCCCACCTGAGTTGCATTTGCCCTGGGATTCTCAGTTCACAAGGCAGATTCATGACAGCTTATTTTGAAACTGATATTTGGAGGAGTACCTTTGGAGATATATTACTGTTCTGGTTTGCTTGCGGATTGCTTGCGGAGGTTTATGCATTGAATGCTTGGTTCTCAATGTCAGTACTGAGAGGTAGTGAAGTCTTTAAGAGGCGGGACCTAATGGGATGTAGTTAGGTCAATGGGTGTCTGACCTCAGAAATGATGACTGGAATATTCTGGGGACTAATTAGGTTTCTTGAGAATATGTGGCTATGAAAGAACATGCTTCAAGGCTGGAGTTGTAGTTTAATGGTAAGGTCTTGGGTTTGATTCCTGGCAATACCCCCCTCCTCCCCCCCGCCACACACACACCAAAAAGAAAGAAAGGAAGAAAGCCAAGACACTAGGCTGACTCTTAGATCTTCCTCTGATTTCCTTTCTTACTGTGATACCCCCCTAGTATCAGGTCCTCACTAAAAGACATACAGACTGAGTAGCTAAGTCTTGAACACTCTACGTAAAAAAACACTGTTATTTTAAAAGTATCTATCTATCTCTCTATCTATATCTCTCTCTCTCTCTCTCTATCTATCTATCTAACATCTATCATTTCTCTCACCTATTATCTATCTGCCGATCTACCTATCAATCTATCATCTGTCTATTTATCTACCGTCTGTCTGTCTATCTATCTATCTATCTATCTATCTATCTATCTATCTATCTATCTGATACAAGGTCTCACTAGATTTTTTTTTTGGTTTTACAAGACAGGGTTTCTCTGTATTGTTTTGGAGGCTGTCGGTCCAGCCCAGTCTCGAACTCACAGAGATCCACCTGCCTCTGCCTCCCGAGTGCTGGGATTAAAGGCGTGTGCCACCACCGCCCGGCTTCACTAGGTATTTTTGACTAGCCTCAAAGTCAGAGATACACCTACCTCTGCCTCCTGAATGCTGGGATTAAACATGAGTTACCACATCCACCTACTTTTTGTTTTTGAACAGGAGTTTATATGGCCTCAAAGTCACTATGTAGGTGAGATTGACCTTGAAATTCTAATATTATTTTCTAAGTACTGGGGTTATAGGATTATACTACCCTATCTGGTGAAGAAACCTTTTTAATTTACGTATTGCTTAATTTCAGTGAAGTTTAATCATGTCAAAGGAAAATGGACTAATCTTCAATAATCTTCAATAGACGATGATAATGTTCTCAAGGCCTTTGAATTGGGCACCAGATTCCTGTATTTTCCAATGTCAAAGTCTTGGTGGAAGTTGATGACTTCTTTATTTCAATTCATGTAGTTGGAAGCCAGAAGTTTAGGGAGGGTTGGAGGTACTTGGACTTCCTTAGTGGATTATGCCTGTCTCAGAGTAGTAACTTGGTAGCATTTAGTATCCTGAAGTTTCTTAAAGTCATGTATATGTGATCCTACTAGAAAGCAAACTCAGGCACTCCAAAGAGCAAAGGCCAAACAGTTTAACTGCATGCTTCAAAGGAAATACTGAATATACAGCAATGGCCCACAGCCATGGACGTGAATTCTCTACAAGGGCATGCTTTGAAAGGAGTGGTATGCATGGCCAAAGCAGACAAATATTTACAGCCAGCCTGGTCTACATAGAAAATTCCAGATTAGTCAGGGCTACATAGTGTCTGAAAGAAAGAGAGCAAGTAAGAGAGACAGAGAGAAAGTGAGGAAGGAAGCAAGGAAGGGAGAAAGGAAGGAAGGAAGGAAGGGAGAAAGAGAGAGAGGGATGGAGGGGGGGAGGGAGGAAAACACAAGATAACTCTGGAGAAAAGATAGAAAATCCTGCAACACTGAGAACATGTGATACCTTCTCATGAGGAGCCCAAAGACTGTGACTGCAGGACACAGAAAGAAAAATCCAACGACAACGAAGTATCACTTTTACTCTTTTCATGTGCTCAGAATTATTCTATTTTTACTAAGTTTTTAGCAGGAAGATTTTCTGGTTCTGAAATTCTAAGTTGGGTATTGTTTCAGTGTATCTGAAAAAGTAGCCCCGTGTTCTGGCTTCATTGTTGTGCTAAAGTCAATGGCCATTATTTGGCTATTCCTTCATGCGACTGCTCTTCTCTTATTGGCTACCTTCTGTTATAGTTACCTTCTATATGACTCTCTTCTGTCATGGCTCTCTTCTGCTATGGCTATCTCCTGTTATGGCTATCTTCTGAATGGCTATCTCCTGTTATGAATATCTTGATATCTTTAATTTATACCACAATGGTGTGCTTATTATGGACTTTCTGATTTGAGGATTGATATTTTTCAACAGTTTTAGAAAACTGCTAGCGATTATCCCTCTATACATCACTTCTTCCATATTCTATGTGTCTCTGGAGCTCTGGTAGAAGTTTGCCTCCTTCTACCAAATATGCTTTGAAATTCCTTTCCTGCCATGACTTCCGGATAACTTGTTTAGATTTGCCTTCCAATTTAGTAAGTCTTTCTTCAACTATATTTAAATTACTACTTTAGCAATTCACTAAACTTTCGAATCTATCTATCTATCTTGTATTCTTCCAAATATGTTTGGTTTTATTTAGTGCCTTATGTGATTTGTGATTTGTACTTATTTCTTTTTTTTTTTTGATTTGGAAAACTTCCCTCTAATCATCTCTCAATGCATATTTCACCAATATAACATAAACAATTTTATATTTTATAATTTATTTATTAAACATGATAATTATTTTCCTTATTATAGATTCTTTGTTCACAACATTTTAATTGAAAACAATAGATAATCCCTGTTGACTTATATCATCCCCCAATTATTGAACACTTCAATTGTTTCCAATGGTTAAATACATAACAAGCATATGACTATTACATGGTGCATAAAAATAATATATAAGAATATTGATTTGAGCCGGGCGGTGGTGGCGTATGCCTTTAATCCCAGCACTCGGGAGGCAGAGGCAGGCGGATCTCTGTGAGTTTGAGGCCGGGCTGGACCAACAGCCTCCAAACAATACAGAGAAACCCTGTCTCATAAAAACCAAAAAAAAAAAAAAAGAATATTGATTTGTACTTATTTCTAAGCATCTCATTTGTTTTATACCTATGACGAACATAGTTGGGAGACAGATACTATTTGTTGCACATCAACTGATGACATTATCTGAGTTTTTTCCTGGATGGTGATTTGCTGTTTATGAGTCTGGCAGTTCTTTTCTGGCATACTTTGTGATTTTTGACTGAAAGTTGAATATTGTATTTGAAATTTTATTCATGGAAATTCTTTATAAAATTATTGTTTTCTGAAAGGAGAACTTTTTTTTTTCCAGTTTAAAGTTAGATAAGAAACAAGGTTGCTTCACAAGTCAGTTCCAGGTCCCTCTCCCTTTCCCTCCCCTCCTCCCGTGCCCTTCCCCCAACCCCCCCCATTATCCCCTCATTCCCCCAGGGAGGGTGAGGCCCTCCATGGGGGTGTCCATAGTCTGTCATTTCATATAGGGCAGGGCCTAGATCCTTCCCCAAGAGTTCAGGGTGAGAGTGCACCTCACGTTGTTCTATGGGAGTCCAAAGTCCCTGTGTATACTTGGGATGAGTACTGATCTGCTGCCCAAGGCTCAATAGATTACCTAGGCCTCCTCACTGACACCCAGATTCAGGGGGTCTTGATCAGTCCCATGCTGGATTCCCAGGCTGATGCCTGGGATTCAAGAGTTAACCTTTGTCTGGTCAGCTGTTTCTGGGGGGTTAAACCAGCCCAGACTTAATCCCTTTGATCATCAGTCCTCCCTCTCTGTTACTGGCTTTCTTGAGTTCAGCTCAGTACTTAACCAAGGGAGTCTGCCTCTTCTTCGATCAGCCACTAAATGAAGTTTCTGTTTCCCAGACTCTCTGCCCATAGGATTGTAGGCTGGCACTCCCCAGATCTATGTCTAAAATCCATATATGAGAGAGTACATGCCATGTTTCTCTTTTTGTGACTGGATTACCTCACTCAGGATGGTTTCTTCTAGTGTTATCCATTTGCCTGCGAATCTCATGATTCCATTACTTTTTTCTGCTTAATAGTACTCCATTGTGTAGATGTACCACATTTTCTCTATCCATTCTTCGGTTGAGGGACATCTAGGTTGCTGAAAGGAGAACTTTTTAAAATTAGTATCTATTAGCTGCATAAAGTAATACTTTTTTATTAGCATCTATTAGCTGTATAAAGTAACAGATTCTGCTATGATGTTTCCATTCATGTATGTGATGTACTGGATATTTGTCCTTCTTTATCACATTTAGCACCATCTATGGTCCTTTCTCTTTTTCTCCCTTTTGGGATGAGGGTTCTTGTAGCTAGTCACCTACACACTATTAATCAAGACCATTTAAAAACAGCACATATCATGAACTCAACCCATTTAAAGTGTATAATTCAATTCTCAGTGATGTGCAACCACCATCATGATCAAATTTCATACTTTTCTGTAACTTCCAAAGTCCTCTTGCCCATTTGTAGTTATCAAATATTTTCACACTTTGGCTCCAAGAAGTCATTAGTGTATTCATATAGATTTGATGATTTGAATATTTCATGCAAATAAAATCATACATGTAGTTTAAAATTTAAACTTTTAAGAATATTTTGTATTTGGTTTATTTTGCTTATCCTAGGGAGTCTGAGGTTTATCGTAGTCCCTATTATCCATTACTCCATTGTAAAATGGAATTATATTTTGAAAAAATCAAATGGTGGAGGACAATAACAACAACAAAAGAATGCAAGGGGTTGATGGCAAACGTCCTGGGGTCTTTGTCCATAACCTGAAGACTTTGATTTCCATCTGTGAGGACTGCATTGT